TTCCAGAGAATTAATTTCAAATTTTAAAAAATCTTTTTATATTCTATAAATGCTGAAGCTTAAAAATCTTTGAAAATACTGAAGCTGTATGAAATACAAGTATGAGAGACTGCGACGTTCTTATCGTTTAATAATTGGTAGAATTTGCTTACTGTATCATGTAATTTTAAATATAAACAATTTATTATACTTATTTTCAGTTACGCCTAAGCTTAAATGTCAGAAATGTAAATTTAAAGTAAAGAATTGATGTTAATTTACAATAATAATTTATTATTGTTTTTTAAAGAGAAAATAGAAATTACGCGTAGCATGGAGAATACATTGTAACGTCAAAGCTTATTCCCGCCCGTTTATGGACGTCACACAGCTCCGCCTTCTCAACTTTCTTGATGCAGCCTATTCTACGCTTTTACCAAATTATTTACTATAGGTGAAATAGCTAAAGGTTTCCTGTATTGTTTTTAAAATTACATCCTTTATACCTTAAACAGTTTTATTAATCATTTCTTAATATTTCTTTCTCTTAAAATCGTGTATAATAGTCGTAAATTTATTTCTATTATCCACGATTTCTGGTGAAATCAAGATGGCCGCCATTTTTTGAAACATGGCGTTTTGTCGAAATCTGGATGGCAACCATTTTTCAAAACAACGTATTTCATATGCTTTGGCGCCAAAACAAATTCGCCAAACTTTGAAGGTGGGCTATGCTGAAGCTCTTCCTAAATTTCTATAAATAAGTGCCTTCAAATGAATAAATTTTAATTTTTCATGAGTTTTTAGCATTAAACAATATTTGAAATTGCTCATTGCTTGTGGCTTTCTTTGTGGTTACAATTTCAAACAGACGCCAACGTTATCAGTTCAAGTCTGTCACCACCTACAAAGCCCCCTTATCTTGTTTTGAGGAATCTCGTGAGAGGGAAAATTGGGGATTTGAGGCATCGCGCTACTTCCCTCTCGGATCTTTTGGTTTCCCTTTTTTTATCACTTAAATATATTTTCGCCTTTAAATAATATTATACCTCACTGATATTTTTTTCTCATACAGTTCCTTGCTATCTGTTAAATGTCCATATGTAAGGGTTGGAATATTCTTTACTCATATAAATAAATTCTTAGAACTATGAGCTTATATAAATAACAGTGTGCCTCATTGTATTAAACTAACATTAATTAACTAGTAATAAATTATGATAGTAAAATAATTAAACCTGTAAAAAATTATGACAGTCAAATTAATAAATACTATGTTTAATTTAAGTTTTTAATACACATACTCTGTAATACAAGACCACAACCGCACACACATTGTGTACGGCTCTATGTTCTTTGTCTACTGCTGTTTTTTTGAAAAATGTATGAAAATGTTGGGATAAGTTACTTTAGTTAAATTAATAATTATTTTTCTCTGATGTTATGGGTCTTTTGCTGTTGTGTCACAGGATGCAAGCGTACATATTATTTTGTATTCCATGCTAAATACTTTGATACGATGCATTTTAAGACTGTCACCTTTTTTTTCCCAGTATCACATCTATTCAGCAAAACCAAACAAACTCACGACACACACACACGCCTGTGAGACACTATTTATTGTAAATGAAGACAGCTTCTTCGCTTTTAACTACACTCATGGACACAATCGTATTTTTGGATATTTTCTACTTCTTTTCCTTTTCTTTCTATAGGCCTTATTTACCCTCTATTATTTTTTGGGCCATCTATTTTAAATTTTATTTGGTCCCATCTTTTCTTCCTGCCCTTTCAAACTCGTACAAAATGTACGACGTTCCTTTTTACACTCCTCTGAAATACGAAATTGCCCCCTTTCTATATACCTTTGCTTCGTACCTAAACTTGATTTTTCGCCAATCGGTACAGAAAGACTTAGCGGGTGCAAAAGAAGACATCTGTCTACTTTGTCTGTCTGTCTTTTGTTGGCGATACTTTTTGTTTAAAATTCCGGCTGGCTATACTGAAGCTGTGACCCTCACGGTTTTGAATTAAGATGTAAAACGGAGGAGAACGGTTGGAGGGCGGTGCGATCACCGAGGCAAGCGGCTGCACGGTCACAGCGCTCCGTAAAAAATGTGAAAAAATTCCTTTCCCCCTGGTGATTATCAATTAAATTACTTTTAAACAGTGTTTTTTCTACAAAACATATATGCTTCCAAAGAATTTCCGCTCCGATGTTGACAGAAATAAAACAGCGGACAATGTGAGGACGAAAGCCTGGAATTTTAAGATAAGTACTTTTCTTTCATCTAAACTAAATCAAATTTATAAATAAGTGGCTTTCAATCAATAAATTTTTACTTTTCATCAGTATTTAGCATTAAAAAATACTTGAAATTGCTCATTGCTTGTGGCTTCCTTTGTGAATCAATTCCAAACAGACGCCAACGTTATCAGTTCACATCTGTCACCACTTACAAAGCCCCCTTATCTTGTTTCAGGATTCTCGTGAGAGGGAAATTCGGGGACTCAGGGCATCGCGCTATTTCCGTCTCAGATTTTCTAGATTCTCTTTTTTTTAGATCGCTTAAATATATTTTCGCCTTTAAATAATATTATACCTCACCGATTTTTTCTCATACTCTTCCTTGCTATCTGTTATATGTCCCTATGTAAGGGATGGTTTATTCTTCACTGCCTTAAATAAATTCTTAGAACTATGAGCTTATATAAATAACAGTGTGCCTCATTGTATTAAACTAACATTAATTAACTAGTAATTATTGTAAATTAACACTATTTATTGTAAATGAAGACAAATTCTCCTTTTAACTACACTCATGGATACAATCGTATTTTAGGATATTTTATACTTCTTTTCCTTTTCTTTTTATAGGCCCTTTTATTTTTCTCTCTATTATTTTTGGGCCATTTATTTTAAATTTTATTTTGTCCCATCTTTTCTTCCTGGACTTTTGAACTCGTACAAGATGTACGAAGTTCCTTTTTACTCTCCTCAGAAGATTTAGAACACGAAGTCTCAAAATTTACCAACAGCATCAATTCTGCTTTAAAGGAAGCCACCAATACTTTTTATGTGAACAAGCCTTTCCTTCCCCTGCCTTCCGATATAAAAAATAGGATTAAAGAGAAAAACCAGATCCGCAAAAGATGGCAAACCACCAGGGATCCAAATCAAACACGAACTAAACTCTATGCAAAAAGAAATCAACAGACGAATCAAGAACTTCAAAAACCAAAAATTGGACCAAATTTACTAAATAACCTTGATATAGAGGACAATTTCCCTATATGACATTTCCCGCAAATTCAAGAAACCTTATAAACCTATTCCGCCTAATCCATGGACCTAGTGGAACTTCATATACAGAAGAAGATAAAGCTAAATTCTTTTGCGGACTATATGGAAGATACATTCACTCTTAATCCCACTCCGTACGACAATAACCATATTGAACGGGTCAACCAGGTGGTCAATAACTTCCTTAACACCCCTGCTCCGTACAAACTTCACTTTCCTGACTACCCCAACCAATCGTTGCCAAACCCTATCAGTGCCTTACAAACGAAGAAAGCCCCAGGGGACGATGGCATCTCGACCAAAGCACTGAAGCATCTTCCGATCAACGCTCTTACCTGCCTAACTAAAATTATCAACAACATTATCAAATTCGCTCATTTTCCTAACTCATGGAAGCAAGCTATAATAATTGTTTTTGCTAAACCGCAACAAAATCCAACTCTCTCACAGAACTATCGCCCTATCAGTTTACTTAGCCACCTGTCTAAAGTTACTGAGAAAATCCTACTTTTCTACATCCAAAAAATTCACCCTTCCATGAATTTTCTCCCAGAAGAACAATTCGGTTTTCGTAATCATCATAGCACTTGCCACCAACTTCTTAGAGTTATCAACATTATCACTGAAGGCTACAACTGCAAGCTTCCGACCGGTGCTATATTTCTCGATATCGCGAAAGCTTTTGACAGGGTATGGCATCGAGGACATATTTACAAACTAATCACTCTCAATTTTCCAGATCATTTTATTCGCTTAATAGCAAGCTTTAATAATAAGCTTATTAGCAAGCTTAATAATAAGCTTTATTGTTTAATAGCTCTTTTCTCAGCAACAGAACATTCAGAATCAAAATCGGTACTGCATACTCTACCACCAGAGTAATCAATGCTGGTGTTCCACAGGGGTCGGCACTTTCGCCGTACATTTTTAATATTTATACACAAGATATCCCTAAAGACTCTTCTGTTCATCTTGCACTCTTTGCCGATGACACCGCAAATACGAAAATGCCCCTTTTTCTAAATACCTTTCCTTCGCACCTATGCTTGATTTTTCGACCATCGGGGCAGAAAGACTTAGCGGGTGCAAAACAAGATATCTGTCTACGGTTAAGTTCTTGCAAATTCTACATGCAACATTTTTATTTTGTTTAACTTGGATACTAATCTAACTCGCACAAAAGCGCATATTCTTCTATTTCTAGCCGAAGGCCTCAGAGCATAGCGCCAACTAGAGGTCAAAACTCCTAGCGGTTGATCCCTCAGTGATACCCGATGTCTTGCAAATATGAAACAACATACTGCGGTCTACATCGGGAACAGGAAAAAACCGTGTATATGATGTATTCAATCAGTTATTCAGGTGAAACACCGTTTTAACCAAGCATAGAAAATTGAACAATGTAGTTTAAACAACCGTACTTTTATCATACTGGTTTGGTTTGGTTTATTTTATTAGATTACGGCATAGCACTCGAGCGCTATCTGCCTTAAGGGAGGGATGCCTTCGTGGAGGACTTTTTAAGGGAAACTGGCTCGTATACACGTTACACATGGGAAAAACCACGAAAACACCCATGCAGTTAGCCCGTTCGCGGGATTCGAACCTTGGACCGAACTACCAGTGTTCAGCGACGTTACCGCTCGGCCGCTGGTGGGCCTTTTATCATACTGGAGAGAAACCTTATGTGTGTGAAGTATGCAAGAAGTGATTTTTGTGTAAAAAGTAATTTAAATAAACAATTGCTTATTCATGCAGGAGAGAAACCTTATGAGTGGGAAGTGTGTAGGAAGTCATTTAGACTTAAGCATAGCTTAAGCAAGCATATGCTTATTCACACAGGAGAGATATATTATGTGTGTGAAGTATGTAATAAGTCATTTAGTCAAAAGTGTAGTTTAAACAACAATATGTTCCTTCACACAGAAGAGAAACTTTATATGTGTGAAGAATGTAAGAAGGCATTTAGATTTAAGCATAGTTTAAACAGGCATATGCTTATTCACACAGGAGAGAAACCTTGTGTTTGTCAAGTATGCAAGAAGTCATTTAGTGTAAAACATAGTTTAAACAACCATATGCTCATTCACACAGGAGAGAAACCTTATATGTGTGAAGTATGTAAGAAGCCATTTAGACATAAGGAGAGTTTAAGCAAGCATATGCTTGTTCACACAGGAGAGAAACCTTATGTTTGTGAGGTATGTATGAAATCATTTAGACTTAAGGAGAGCTTAAGCAAGCATATGCTTATTCACACAGGAAAAAAACCTTATGTTTGTGAAGTATGTATGAAATCATTTCGACAAAAGTGTAATTTAAACACGCATATGCTTATTCACACAGACGAGAAACCTTATGACTGTGAAGTATGTAAGAAGTCATGTAATCAAAAGTGGAATTTAAAAACACATGTGCTTATTCATACAGAAGAGAAACCTTACGTTTGTGATGTATGTAAGAAGTCATTTCGTCAAAAATGTAGTTTAAACAACCATATGCTCCTTCACACAGGAGAGAAACCTTATATGTGTGAAGAATGTAAGAAGGCATTTAGATTTAAGCAGAGTTTAAACAGGCATATGCTTATTCACACAGGAGAAAAATCTTGTGTGTGTGAAGTATGTAACAAGGCATTTAGATTTAATCATAGTTTAAACAACCATATGCGCATTCACACAGGTGAGAAACCTTGTGTGTGTGAAATATGTCAGATGGCATTTAGAGTTAAGCTGAGTTTAAGCAGGCATATGCTTATACACACAGGAGAGAAACCTTATGAATGTGAAGTATGTAAGATGTCATTTAATCAAAAGACAAATTTAAACAAGCATATGCTTATTCATGCAGAAAAGGAAATTTATGCTTGTGAAGTATGTAAAGAATCATTTAGTGTTAAGCAAAATTTAAACAGGCATATGCTTATTCACACAGAAGAGAAACCTTATGTTTGTGATGTATGCAAGAAGTCATTTAGTGAAAAATGTAGTTTAAATGACCATGCGGTCATTCACACAGGAGACAAACCTTATGTGTATGAAGTATGTAAGAGAAATCATTTAGTCGAAAGTGTAAGTTAAACAACTATATGCTCATTCACACAGGAGGGAAACCTTGTGTGTATGAAGTATGCAAGAAGAGATTTAGTCATAAGGATAATTTAAACAGCCATATGATTATTCACACAGGAGAGAAACCTTAAATTTTAGGGACAGTCAATTCCATCTATTGCAATAAAAATTGTAATTTAAAGTCTAAACACTGCACAGAATATATTACTGATGTCTAAACATTGAAACTGTCTGATGTGCTTTGTTATAGACAAAAAATGTATGTTTGTCATTATTACATGATGGGCAAATTTTGCTATGTTTCTTTTGCCCATAGAAATCATGGGTTGAGCTGCTGTCAGAGAATTAAGAGAAACTTCGTATGTGTGAATTATGTAAGAAGTCATGTAAGGAAAAAGATAGTCTGAAGCACTTTATGCTTATATGTAGGGCAGAAGTCTCACCTATCTAACAAATGATTTAGAGGAAAGAATAATTTAAATAAGCATATCCATGCTAATATATCGGAGAAAACTTTTTTTATATATATAAAAATGTATTTATTCTAAAATGTGAATTAAATATCTATATCAATAGAGAAGAGAAATCTCATAAGTCATATGAGTAGAAGAATTTATAGAAACCAATTTTTCTATATTGAAGTGGTCGTGTGTGGTTTGTTATGTTTAATAGCAATCTGTAATTGCAAATGCAGAAAGGAATTGTCCATGAATAAATCCTCATTATGTGAAGTCAGTTTTGGTTCATTTCTACGAGGCAGGCTCCTATAGGACAGAATTTAGGTGCATTAACATTCATAGAAATTTCAGTGGTGCTCAGTGGCAGAATTTAGGATTTGCGTGTGTTATCTGGTTGGTAAAAGCTGACAACTGAACCTGTGTAAGGGAGGTAACTTGTAATTTTATCAGTAGGAATAATAAATCATCTATTTGTTTCCCCAAGAGAATAAACTTGGTACATGCAAAATAAATATAAAGTCATTTAAAGGAACTACTGATTTGAAGTAGCATTTACTATTCCAAGTAAAACTAGACCTTCTTGAGCATATAAGTTTTATTTTTGCCTTTATTACAGCTGTGCGCATATAGATTTCAGTAGATTTTTTCTTACTCGTAGATGTCCTTTCTTTATATTTGGCACCTAGTAAAGTGCATTATGGTGATTATATACTTGTTACCACTTTAAAATGCTTCTAATAATGAAATGAAGAAAGGTAGAATGGCTCAGCCATATGTGTACTGTAACTTATGTATACTTTGTGTTAAATTTGCTTTCTCAGTTTAATGCAGATACCTATCACAGCTTTCTATTTATTAATTTAAGTGTGATGGATTGGGCATGTGATGAAATAGTGTATTAGGTACTTTTATTTTTGTTGTAAATATCCTGAAGACCATGATTACCTACCTACAGTAGCACATCCATGCTGCAGTGCATAACGTTCACAAAAGGGTTGCCTGATGCAACATTGGAAATATAATACAGGGTTTCCTCATATTACATTGCAAATGAAAAATGTTTTCAGTGAAATTTGTAACATGCCAAGTAGAGCAACCCCATGTATATAAAGTATGTAAAAAGACATTCGGAAGAATGAGTCATTGAAAAAATAAATTTTAATGCAGGTAAGAAATCTATATGTATTACATATTTACTCAAAACTCTTCTGTGGGGTTTTTGTTTATTTTACTTGAATAAAATGAATAAATCTTCATTTTTTGGCTAATCTTTAGAATATGGTAACAGGTAGCTTGGCGACATTTTGGTAAGGCGATAAAGGTTACTAGCTACTACGTTAGCAATAATCTGAGAAGTACACAGTGCAAATCACAGATTATTTCATCTCAAAGAAATGAGAGATCATGAGACATGTAATGTGACATTTTCCGGAAAATTACGATCGGGATTTTAGCTAATAAGCACTTAAAAACAATTTCGCTGCTAAAGTGCAGAATCGCCCATTTATTTGTTTGGTGCTTTTTACAAGAGTAAGAAGAATTGGATATTTGTCAATTTTTCTTTGACTTTTTAAGTGAAAATAGGTCGATGTGTACATAGATAAAGTCAAGAGTGTGCGCAATGCCATTTTTGTGCAATTCTGGGATGTTTTTTCAAGTTAAAACAGGTCGACGTGCACATGGATACCGTTTGTGTGCAATTCTTAAAAACGTGGCAAGCAGTTTGCAATTCTGCACTTTCTCCCAATTTCACACCTATTCTTCATCATGATTAAGCATTTTTGTTCCATAAAAGTTTTAGTATAAGCGTAATTCGGCTAGCAGATTGTTGGAAAAAATGTTGAGTAAAAAAAAAAAATGCCTTTACTTCAAGAAAACAAAATGGCATCCAAAACAAAACTAGCAGGTTGCTGTAGCAGGGTTGGTCGCCAAAAAATCGCCAAATTACCATAATGTAAAGATTTCACCCATTTTTTAAATTCTTTCTAAGGCTTAATATAAATGCTTTCTAATAAATTACTTACAGTCTAAACACTGACATAGGTGAAAAAACATTGAAATCATCAAGATATATATTTAAATTTAAGTCTAATGTTATCTTAATATAAATATTTCAGGTTTTTTATTCAGATGTACTGTTCCATTTTTTTTTTTTTTTAAACATTATCGAGACCGGAAACAAATGCTTTTACATATATATGAAATATGGATTAGGGGATG